TGTCCAAATAACACAATGCCAAACGATACAGTTCTCAGAATGTATCCATGTCATTAAATGCATGGTTGTTCAAAAAGTAAAACAAACAGATGAGAAATAGGCATAGAAACAAAATTCAAGGAACACAATGGAAAACCTAGAACTAAAAGTGACTTTAAAAGCATACAAATAAATCAACTGAAAAGAAAAAGGTTTGGAGATAATCGTAACCCTGAAGACAGACCCTCTAAAGAGCGGGAGAGTACGCAGCAGCTAGGAAGGCTTACTTTTCGTGCAGGCGGCCTGGACTGGCCTCCTACACCCCACAGGCACCTTTAACTCCACTCCTCCCAGGAGCTGGCATTCTCCTCTGGCCTCCATGGGCACTGCAGGCATGTGCCGCACATACACACACTCAGGCGTTTGTACACATACACATAAAATGAAAATTCTTTGTTTTTTTTCAAATATCAGTATTTCCCAGTGTGAAAACAAATCAAAGACCACTTGCTGACAGAGTCTGAGGGATAATATAAAATCATAGAAATATGAGAAGCTCATAAAGGAAGCAGCTGCTTTATCAAGATCAAAGATATCTTAAGTATAAAATCAGAAATGACAGGCAACCAATGTCAGATGCACAGGTGTTCAAGTGAAAAGATGAAAGAGAGACCACTTTTTGTTTTGTTTTGTTTTGTTTTTTGAGACAGGGTTTCTCTGTGTAGCCTTGGCTGTCCTGGACTCACTTTGTAGACCTAGCAGGCCTCAAACTCACAGAGATCGGCCTGCCTCTGTTTCCCAGCGTGTTGGGATTTCAGGTATGCACCACCATGTCTGGGTTGAGAGCTCACATTTTAAGAATAAAAATGCCACAGCAACCAAAATAAAGCTAACATTCCTAAACACAATGCTGAGATTGTCACCAGGAAGATGAGCAACATTCTGTACAAAGTTTTGAAAATTCCCGTTTTGAAATACAGTTAGCTGCACTGACTCCATGGGGCATGGTAAAGGTTGCTTATCGCCAAGCCTGAGGAAGAAGCCCCACTGTGGAAGGCAAACTCTTCTCCGAGCTCTACATGCATCTCATGGCATGCATGTGCCCAAACACATAAACATACAAAACAAGTAAATGTTTAAAAAAATAGACTTCTTTCAAAACACTTTCATACTATGTCCCAAGCTGTACATACAGCACACGCTGGCCTTGGGTAATTACTGCCAATCTTCCTGCTTCAGCTTTCCCACTGCTGGAATACACCAGGGCAGAACAGCCTTTATTATTTACTACCTCCGAGTCAGAAACAAAAAAAAAAAAGGGGGATTTTATAGGGCTAAAGATGTGGCTCAGGGGACAACACATGCTGGAGAGGTTGTGGAGAAAGGGGAACCCTTCTCCACTGCTGGTGGGAATGTAAACTGGTACAACCACTCTGGAAATCAATCTGGCGCTTTCTCAGACAACTAGGAATAGCGCTTCCTCAAGACCCAGCCACTCCTAGGCGTATACCCAAAAGAGGCGCAAGTACACAAAAAGGACATTTGCTCAACCAAGTTTGTAGCAGCTTTATTTGTAATAGCCAGAAGCTGGAAACAACCCAGATGCCCCTCAACTGAAGAATGGATGCAGAAACTGTGGTACATCTATACAATGGAGTATTACTCAGCAATGAAAAATAAGGAAATCATGAAATTTGCAGGTAAATGGTGGGACCTGGAAAGGATCATCCTGAGTGAGTTGTCCCAGAAGCAAAAAGACACACATGGTATATACTCACTCATATAAACATACAATATAGAATAAACCCACTAAAATCTGTACATCTAAACAAACTAAGCAAAAGAGAGGACCCTAACTAAAATGTTCAATCCCCATCCTGAAAGGCAAAGAGGATGGACATCAGAAGAAAAAGAAAATAGGAAACAACCTTGGAACCTGCTACAGAGGGCCTCTGAAAGCCAGAAGAAAACAGGAAACAACCTTGAAACCTGCCACAGAGGGCCTCTGAAAGCTTCTGCAGTATAGACTGTCAAAGCAGATGCTGAGCCTGATGGCCAACTGATGGGCAGAGTGAATGGAATTCTATATAAGAAGTGGGAAATAGTAAGAGCTGGAGGGGACGGGAACTCCACAAGGAGAGCAACAGAACAAGATAATTTGAACACAAGGAACTTCCCAGAGACTCATACTCCAACCAAGGACTATTCGTGGAGATGACCTGGAACCCCTGCACAGGTGTAGCCCGTGGCAGTTCAGTGTCCAAATGGGTTACATAGTATTGGGAAGAGGGACTGCCTCTGACATAATCTGATTGGCCTGCTTGTTGATCACCTCCCCCTGAGGGGGGAGCAGCCTTATCAGGCCACAGTAGAGGACAATGCAGCCACTTTTGATGAGAACTGATAGACTAAGATCAGAAAGAAGAGGAGAACCTCCCCTATCAGTGGACTTGGGGAGTGGCATGCATGCAGAAAGAGGAGGGAGGGTGGGATCTGGAGGGGAGGAGGGAGGGGCTTATGGGAGGATACAAAATGAATAAAGTGTAATTAATAAAAAATTAAAAAAAAAAAAAAGATGTGGCTCAGCAGTGAAAGTGTTTGCCACATAAGCCTGAAGACCTGGGGTTAATACCTAGAGCCCAGGTAGAGGTGAAAGTGGAGGGGAAAAGACAATTCCTAGAGCCATGCTCCGACCCTCACATGTGCACCACGGCGCTTCCGTACTCTCCTCACCCAACACATCAACATGCAATAATGATAAACAGAACTTTTAGAAAGACTGACAAGAAGACCAGCAAGATGACTCGGCAGGTTAAGTTGCCACCCAAATCGACAAGCATGACAACCCGAGTTCAAACCCCAGAACCCATGTAAAGGGAGCAGAGAACCACTCCCACAATACTGCCCTGACCTCCACGTAAATACTGTGGTGGCGTACGCTGCCTCTCCCACACGCCTCTTATACACAATAAGTAATAAAAATTGAAAAATATTGACAGTGAACATAAGAAAAAATGCAGGGCTACTGAAATGTCCAGAGTTCAATCCCCAGGTTCCACATCCCAGAAAGAAAGAACAGACTCCCTCAGATTGTCCTGTGACAGGCATACAGCACCATGGCATGTGCGGGCACACAGACACAGACACACAAAATAAGCGTAATTTAAACAAACAAAAAAGCAAAGCATAAACCTCATACCTCAAAGTTTTCACTAACTTCCTGCATCATTTTCAACTTCGTCTCATCAGCTGTAAATGTCAAAACAAAGTGTCAGGTCATTGAAAGTGCCGTCAGGGGGCTTCTCCACACCCCTGGATTTAAGAACTGAAGAGAAGCAATCAGATCTTATCAGTTTGACTGTCACAGCCCAGAAGATGGCACATGGCTAGGTCCCTACACCAGTCACACACACCCATCCTGCCAGACTCACGTGTGCATGCACAGACAAGGACACACACACACACACACAGGCACCCACACACACACTTGTGCCTCTTTGGGGCTCCAGGAATATTGCTCATCATTTTGCTTCTCCACAAATAGAGAGGAGGAGACCAAGGACAAACATTCGGGTTGCTCTTCATCCCAATGGGCAAAAGAGGATCAACTCACGTGTGTTTACGTCCGTGAGAGCTGCCACAAACTGAAGGTATTTCTTCATCAGAGTGGTTTGGTCAACCACCGTGGCCCCCTGGGTTGCAACGAACGCCATCTTTCTTCCGAATTTTTTTCTTTCTCAAAGCTGAAGTACCAAATCCATGAGTTCACCCAGCCTGTAAAAAGATGCATCCCATTAGGAGTTTTCAAGGACCCAGGCTTGTAACCTGTGAAAATTTTTACCCAAGTACCTTCTCAAATTACATTCATGTATTTATTCTGTGGGGGGGAAGACCCCTATGCCTCAACAGACGTGTGGAGGTCAGAGGAATAGTGGAGGTCCGGGGAATCGAACTCATTTCATAAGGGTTGGTCCCAGGTATCTTTACCGGCTGAGCCATCTCACTGCCCACCCCCTAAATGACTCTGTAGAAATTCAGACTATAACACTGTTCTCTGCGGGTTGTTTCTGTTTTGGACATACATGTTTCAATATAAAGCTTACCCAAATTTGTTGGTTAAACATCATTTTTCAATATGGAGGGTTTTCTTTCCCATCATATAGCCTTTTTTCAACAAGCCAGAAGATGGCAAACATTTTGTACAAAGTGCTATAGTGAATGGAGGAAGAGCTGGGGCTGTGTCTCAGTGGAGAAGGCTTGGCTAGTATGTTTATGAAGCTTTGATCCCCAACACCACATAAAGCAGAGGTTGTGATCCCAGCACTTGAGAAAGTACAGAGAGGAGCCTGGGATACACGAGACACTATCGCCGCCAAAGTGGTGGGCGGTGGGGGTGGGGAGCCAGACAGTAATAATATTAGTGTTTGGAGCTGTGCAATGTCTACCATTGTGGCCCAGGTCTCCTGTAGTCAGGAAAGAGTCACAAACATAGAAATGAACAACAAATGCTGTGTTCAAAAAAACCAATCATGGATGCT